TGTGGGCACGTAAAAATCCCACTTAATTCAAAATATCCTACGGACGTTACACACAGCAAATTAACCCCGTGCAACGAGCAACCTCCCAGAGGCGCCCAGAGGTCACCTCGCCCGCACTTCAGGCCGCCTGCCGTGCCCGCACCTGTGCTCCAGCCCTGGGGACGGATTAAATTTAGAAGGATGGAAAAGAAGGAAAGATCCTTCTGATAAAAACCACTTCCAACATCCCCCTTGCCTCGCTCGTGCAAAATCAGGGCTTTTCAATGTGCACTGGAGAATTTTAATACGTCTTACAGTCTGAATCAGAAAACTAAAGAGCAGTTCATAAAGAATTTGTGAGGGGGGAGGGTATAGCTCAGTGGTTTACAGCACGTGCTTATTAGCATGCAGGAGATCCTGGGTTCAAGCCCCAGTACCTCCATTAAAATAACTAAATAAACAACTACCTCCCCCAAAAAAGTAAAAATTAAAAATAAATTAAAAAAAAAAGAATTTGAGTGTGCTTCTTAAAGTGCTCACAGAAACAGCCTCCCAAGGGCGATACCCTAACCAGAGCAGAGCGTCGCCCCCCGCCCCCGCCACCTGACGACCTCACAGAAACACTGCGGCTCACCTGTCAAACGTGAGGGGCTCTGGGCTGCTAACCTTTCAGCTCCCGTTAGAAACTAGACCCTCTGCACAAGTACCTGGACGGAGGCTGGAGCGCCGGCTGTCGGGAGGGCGATTCTGAGCCTGGAAAACACACTGAACTACATCAGGACACAATGAGAATTTTACATCACCTGGGTTTCCAAAAAACACAGTAAATATTTCGAAACTTCCAGCAAGATAATAAACCAACTGGTTGAAATCAGACTTTCACAGAATTGCCTCCTCTGCCCTTTCTCACCCTGATGTGAGCTGAGCAACATATTAGCAGCATTAGTATTGAGGTAAAACTTTAGGCTGCAGCTGCGATTTGTCGTGATTTTAAAACTGTCAAAATCCAGCACAAGGAAAATGCTTTTTAAAAAACCACTATCTAGGAATCAGAGAAATTCAGTTAGGTCAATATTCCTAGAAAACTAAATTGAATTTATGTTGCCAAATGGTCGTATTTATTTGACAGAGTCCCTTAAAGTCGAAATTCCGAAAGAGAAGGTAATTCAACCTGTCCCATCTATCCCAGTGTCTTTTATTCAATCTGCCTCCCTCCAGCTGCCAAACTCTAAGTCAACATGGAAAGGGGTCAAGGCATCAAATTTTAGTATTTATTTCTGCAGGAAAATGCACAGTGGCTAAATTGTCATTTTATAACAGAACAGTTTGAGTTCATCCACCTGTGAGACTATCATTCTTAAAACACATACAGCTGACCATCTGTATCCACGAGTTCCCCAAGGATTCATGCAACCAGATCGAAAATATTCCAGAAAAAACTGCCAGAAAGTTCCAAAAAGCAAAAATTGAATTTGCGACACGCCAGTAATTATTTACACAACATTTAAGTTGTATTAGGTGTGGTAAGTATTAGGTGTGTATTAGGTGTGGTAAGAGGGTGTGTGTAGGTTATATGCAAATGCTCTCGCACTTTACACAAGAGACCTGAGCATCCATGGACTTTGGTGTCCGAGGGGGTCCTGGAATCAAGCCCCCATGGATACCAAGGGACAACTGTATGTAGGTTACATAAAAAACCTACTGCTGAAAAATGGAATTTCCTTAGGACACATCATACTTCCATCATTTTGAGTTGCCCGAAGAATGTGAGCAAATTAGCAATTTGAGGAAGTAACCAGTTATGCAATCTTCCTCCTACAGCCTACAATTGCCTCCGGTTTCATTACTATAGCTTTGCGGTCAGTCACAGGGGAGGGGACCCCAGATCCCCTCCCACATGAAATACACCAAGAAAGTCACAGTGAACCCAGCAGCCTACATCACTCCCACACCTCAACCTGGACAGAGATGCTGCTCTGTTCTCAATTCAACCTATCTTTCCTTTTCTGGCCAAAACAGAAACAAAAAAGGTTTCAAGTGCATATGGAACATTCACCCAGATTCAACCCCAGGCTGAGTCACAAAGCAAGTCTTGGTAAATTTCAAAGGACTGAAATATAGTGTATGTTCCCTAGCCACAGAATTAAATTATAAACCAATCTATTTGAAAATTCAAATAGAATAGAAAATTGAAATTGAATAAAAAAATTCAAATCTATTTGAAAATCAAGAGACATACTTCTAAATAACTCAAGGGCAAATGAACTCATAAGGGAAATTAGAAAGATTTTGAACTGAATAATAAAAACTCAACATATCACAATTTGTGACTTGCAGCTAAAGCTCGATGGGGAATTTATAGCTCTAAATGTTTATATTACAAAAGAGAAAAAAGCTTAAAAACAATTATCTAAGTTTTTGTCTTACGAAGCTTGAAAGGAGACAAACAAATTAAACCAAAGTAAGTAGAAAGGAAATAAACTAAGCAAGAAATCAACAAAATAGAAAATGGACAAATATGGAAAATCAACCAAACCAAAAGTTGGGTCCTAGAAAATTAATAAAACTGGTAAATCCCTGGCTACCGGAATCAAAGAAAAGGAGAAATCACACATGCTGACACCAGGAAGGCAAGAGCGACACCACCAATCAAACACATATTAAAAAGGAAATAACAGAACATTAAGAGCAACGTTATGGTGATAAATTTGACAACTTAGATAAAATGACCAATTCCTTGAACTGACACCAAAAGATACAGAAAATCTGAATAACCCTGTTTTTAAATATAGATTCACAATTTAACACCTTCCCAGAAAGAAAACTCCAAGCTCAGAAGGCCTCCTGACCGAACTCTCTCGTGAACGTCTAAGGAAGACAATGCCGACTTCACACAAACCCTTCTAAGGACTAGCAGGGAACACTTCTCAACTCATGCTGCAAGGGCAGCACCAACCTGCTACCCAATCAGACAAAGACGTTACAGTATGTGTTACCTCCGTCACGAACACAGGCACACAAATCCTTAACAAAACATGAGCAGATCAAACCCAGAAAAATATAAAAGCAGCCGTCGGCATGTTGTCCACAACCGCAGCTCTCAAGAGCCTCTCCCTCCCCAAAATCCAAACCTGCCTTTGTTTTCCAAAGGTTAAATTAACTGGGTCTGCAACTTAATGAGTTTGCAGACTGAAAACTTTTCACCAACATTATACCGTACTACAAAGCTACAAATCTGCATAATGCAGCAGGATTATTGTTTAATAACCTGAAATCAAAATTAAATTTAGAAAACTAAGATGAAGCCAAGGGCGATATTCAAAATGCACCCCAGGAGGTCTCCAGACCCCCTCTCACCTGGCGCACACACTTCCCGGGAGGAAATTTCTCTGTGGCTTCTCAGGGAGACTGCTGTGTGAGGCACAGTAAACCCTAGGCATCATTCTCTAACAAATCCAGCCTTGAGCTCCACAGGAATACTTATTTCATTGTCTCCCAAGTAAATGGAAATGCCCTCATGCCAAAAGCAATGGGGAGGGGCAGAAGCCCGTAATCTGGTCCCCGAACTTGAGAATTCTGCAGCCACAGACCCCCGGGGGCAGGTCTCTGTGTTACAAAGACCTCTGGACCGACCTCTGGACCTTCATGAAGGTGTACGTGAGTGGGTCACCATCACAAATCTATCAAATAGGCTTTGAGCTATTTCTGTAAACTGTTTTCTCTGCACCTTTTTTTTTTCTGATTCAGAAAAATGTCAAGATACAAAATTATGACTGATCATCTTTTAAGAACTCTTCAACAGGGCAGGACTGAGTCTGAGGCTGCATGCACAGAGAATGTATTCTCGTGAGAGCCTCAGTGCCCCTAAAGATCTCCCTGAGGAGCTGTTCTCCACTGACGGCTGACACAGTCGTGACCCGTACACTCACTGCTCCAGGGCCGACCAGAGCAGGTGCCAAGCAAATACCGCTTACCCCAACAGCTGTCCCCAATCTGTCTGGAAGCAACATGAAAATCCTATAGCCACATGTCCTATAAATTAAAGTTCTTCCTAAAATAATACTTTATAGGCCATTAAAGAATATAAAACAATTATCTGTCATTAAAACCACTGAACTTCAAGTGAAAACAAAGACTCTGGAGGGCACAGATAACCACTGAGAAAGTCAAGGCCCAAAACCAAAGGTAACTGGAGCACAAGAGCCAAAACCTCCAGCCCCCAGCGGCTGGTCCGTGCTCCTTCAGCATGCCAGCATGTTTTGCCAAAACCTTTTTTTTTTTAAGCTAAACCACAGGAAAAGTAAATACTGTAATGAATTTGCAAATATTTACAAGAGCAGAGCAAATCAGCCAACTAAATTCAACGAGGCAAGCATAATGGGCTGTAAGCCTGAGGCCCCATGTTCCTAGGTTCTCAGAACTGACAGGTGAAGAACAAAAGAGGAAGAATTTTTGCAAGACTAAATCTCGGTAAGAATAGATTTTTGCAAAATTAATCACAGCTATTAATCCTTCCCTGGAAAACAGGCAGCAGGGAGGTGTCCCTGTCTCTTACAAAAGCTCCCCATGAAAGAGCTATTAGCGGACACATTACATGGCAGCCACCACCAGGACAAGCTTCTGGAAACGTGTGACCAGGTGCCGGTGACATTAAGGGAAGCAGAGTCAGGGAGGTCAGAGACACCCAGCGCAGCCCTCCTCTCCCCCTCAGCACAAAGGTCTGGGCAGCCTCCTCTGGAGGCTCTTGGTTTTATCTTTAAAGTAAATAAGGTGTACATCTTATGCCTGAATCTCTGTATTTGTGTTAACAAAACACACCTGAGCCACTGGATAAAGGGACCCCAGCAGCACTCACTCCCAGTGTCAGCGTGGGAGAGAGCCACCCCTTTTCAGCAGCTCGCAGACGCCGACCCCTCCCTCCCTGAAGACCCCGGCCCCACCGACCACCGGTTCTCTGCATCTCCCTCTCTCCTGCCCTCTGGAGGAAGTCAGGTGGCACTGCAAGAAAGGAGCCAGCGGGGATCAGAGACATGAAGTGTCCGAAGAGCAGCGCAGGGGCAATCATCTCTCAGCTGCAAGCCTGAGTCTCACCAGCACAATGACTCATGTGCTTCCCTCAGACTTCATTCTGAAGTTCAAAGACAACACCATTAATCACGCGTGAAAGCCTGACTAAGCGGCCATCACTAGCCAGTGACTTCCTCCCTGCACGGCGGCGCTGAACCCGACCCCAGCACTGCCACAACCTGCGGTGCTGAGCACGCCCCTTACAATCACTCTGCAAATACAAAATTTAAGGAGAAAAAAATTTTTCCTTTAATACTAATTGTCTAAGATTTTTATGCAAACACATTTCCACGGTGTCACAAATAAGAAGTACAACTGCTGATGAGCATGATCAGGGTTTTTACCAGGTATCTGTTCTGGTAAAGCAGGTTCAAGCTTAATATGAACCATGTTTCTCAAAATCCCGAATATCAACTGCAAGCCACAAAACTGTAAATCATCCTTCTGCAAAAGTGAAATGAAAGCTGTTTTCCACTTACTTCTTGCTGACAAAATGAACCCCATAAATAGCAAAACCATCACGTATTCAGAAAAAAAAAAGTATACAGAGTATGTAAGCAAACTATGTTTTTAAAAATCATAAAGAATGAACTGCAAAATAAAACATTTCTTAATCTCATAATTTATGACATAGAGTTACAATTTCTCAGGTTCAAAAAAATAATTTCTCTTAAAAACTTTGGTCACAATGCAATGCATCAGTTGTTATCCAATACAAAGAGTAAACACAGGATATTACATCAACTAAGAACTCACAAAAGCCCCAGGACAACACATTCCTGTACCTAAAGATCAGTGAGATTCCCCCCAGTGGAGATTCGCTCGATCCGTGTGTAAGAAGTATGTGGGCACCTTAGACATGAAACAGACAGAAAACAGCAACTTCAGATACTGTGTTAGAGCACCTGGCCCCCCCGGGGCAGGCAGGGGTACTGCAGGGAGGGATTCAGGTTGCTACCTTAACAAACAGGAGAGCAATGCCAGATTAATTTAAGATTAGATTCTAAGTGTTTTGTTTCATCATGCTTAAAGTATCAGATTTAAAAACAGAGAACAGTTTTGCAATTGGGGATGAGTAAGGCCTTTTTAAGCAAGACTCGTGATGCAAAACTCAAAAGCCAGGAAGTTAAAATTTTCTGTAGAGTATGGTACGTATCATTTTTTAAAAGTTAAATGATAGATGGAAAATAT